CCTGACGGCAGCTGGGCCCAGATCGCCGAGAAGAGGGCGGTCCTGGCCCACGTGGACGTGCAGACGCTGTGTGAGTGCCGCGCATCCTACGGTGGGAGCCGGGAGCCATGTGGCCGAGGGGGGCACCGTGGCCGAGGGGGGGCCACCTGTGGTCACTGCCTGCCTCCAGGGAGCCCATCTTCCCGAGTGAGCGGGTCCCGTTGACATCACTTCCCTCCCCCGGCAGGTCTTCTCTGCTCAGGACTTGGCTGTGGAGACAGGAGGGCCATGGCTAGCAGGGGAGAGGCCTTGGGTGGTGGGGATGGCCGTACCCTGTGAGGGGCAGACAGGCCACCCCGCGGTGCTGCTGCAGAGGAAGGAACCACAGCTGGAGAGTCGGGGCTCTGTGCTCCCCTCCTGCCTCCGTGACCCCCCTTCCCTGTCCTGTGTTTCAGCCAGCCAGCTGGCGGTGGCTGTGGGGCCCGGGGAACGTCGGATCGGCCCAGGGGAGCCCTTGGAACTGCTGTGCAACGTGTCAGGGGCCCTGCCTCCGCCGGGCCGCCACGCCGCGTACTCTGTGGGCTGGGAGATGGCACCCGCGGGGGCCCCAGGGCCTGGCCGCCTGGTAGCCCAGCTGGACACAGAGGGTGTGGGCAGCCTGGGCCCGGGCTATGAGGGCCGGCACATTGCCATGGAGAAGGTGGCATCCAGAACCTACCGCCTGCGGCTGGCGGCCGCCAGCCCGGGGGATGCCGGCACCTACCGCTGTCTCGCCAAGGCCTACGTCCGAGGGGCTGGGGCTCGGCTTCGGGAAGCCGCCAGTGCCCGCTCCCGGCCGCTCCCCGTGCACGTGCGGGAGGAAGGTGAGGGGCTGGCTGGGCCTCCACCGGGTTCAGGGCTTGGGGAAGGAAGCTTTCCCTTTTGTTTCGGGGCATCTCCCCTCCCTGCATCAGTGGCCACCGGGCTTCCCTCTCCTGCTCCTCTTCCTCGGGAGGTGGGAGTGGTCCTAGCCCCGTGCCCCACTGATGCCGCGTCCATGTTCTGCAGGGGTGGTGCTGGAGGCCGTGGCCTGGCTGGCAGGGGGCACCGTGTACCGCGGCGAGACGGCTTCCCTGCTCTGCAACATCTCGGTGCGGGGCGGCCCCCCAGGGCTGCGGCTGGCGGCCAGCTGGTGGGTGGAGCGGCCCGAGGCCGGGGAGCTGAGCTCTGGCCCTGCCCAGCTGGTGGGCGGCATGAGCCAGGACGGTGTGGCGGAGCTGGGCGTCCGGCCCGGAGGAGGCCCCGTCAGCGTGGAGCTGGTGGGGCCCCGGAGCCATCGGCTGCGCCTGCATGGCCTGGGGCCCGAGGATGAAGGCGTGTACCACTGTGCCCCCAGCGCCTGGGTGCAGCATGCCGACTACAGCTGGTACCAGGCCGGCAGTGCCCGCTCGGGGCCCGTCACGGTGTACCCCTACACGCATGGTGAGTGGCCCCTGCCCACCCCCACCCCCGGTTTCCGCCCCCCATCCCCATTCAGCCCTTCTTTTGCCCTGTCCTGTTCGCACCTCTCCTGCTCCTATCCCCCTTCCTCCTCCACGGCACTCCATCCCAAGGGTCTCGGAAGCCCACCTTCCGCTCTTTCTGGCACCCGCATCCCCACTGACCGGAGTCAGGATGGAGGGGGCAGGGGCAGGCTGTCGGTGAATGGGGGACGCAGGTCCCACAGCCCGCTAGAGAAGGCGTCGGGGGGAGCAGGCGTGGCAGTGGATGCCGGGCAGCGCCCTACCCCAGGCTGAACAGAGCCATCCACTCTCACCCAGCCCTGGACACCCTGTTTGTGCCCCTGCTGGTGGGTGCTGGGGTCGCCCTAGTCACCGGCGCCACCGTCCTTGGCACCATCACCTGCTGCTTCATGAAGAGGCTGCGAAAACGGTGATCCCTCGCTCCCCAGGTGAGAGGAGAGAACCCCAACCTCATCGTCTCTCCCCCACCCCCACCCCGAGGCAAGCTGCCCCTCCCACCCTACCTGGGGGAGGAGCAGACATGGGGGACTCCGTCCTCAGTGCACCCCACACTGTCTCTCCAGTTCTCACAGGTGTCGACTGTCTTCCAGCCCAGCTCCAAGACCACCTCTGGTTGCCTGGCTACCCATCGCCCTCTGTCCCCCTTCCTTTAATTTATTTGATCTCCCCCACCCAGAGTGGGGCACATGACCCGATCCCCCACTCCTCCCTTCCCAACCCCTCCCTCTGGGCTTCTGTTCTCCATCTCATGCCCAGCCCATAGGGAGGCCATTCCCTGTCCCAGAATTAGTTTTTCTAAAATGTGAATAAACTTATTTTATAAAACTCAGGGCTAGCTGTGTCTTCCCTGCCCTGGGGCTGAGGTGTGTGGCAGGGCGGTAGTTGCGGGGTTGACAACCTAGTCTGCATGACCCAGCCCTCCCTTCCCACTGCAAATACCATCTGGCCTCTGTGGGCCATGCCACCCACCCCAGGAGGGGACACTTGGGTCCCATCTGCTGCCTGAGCAGTTGGTGCCTTGCCAATCCCTGTTGGGACTCCAGCTTGGGGAGGGGAGCACAGAGAGGGGGTGAGTTCACTGAGCCCGGCCCCCCTCCCAGCCCTCTTCCATGCCTCTTGCATGTGGCCGGGCAGGGGGCTCCAGGTGGCGTCTTTTCCTGCTCCCCACACCATTCCGCCTTCTTCTTGGCCCTCCTCCTCCTGGACCTGACTCCTCTCCGGCCCAAGGGCCTCAGCTTTTTCTTCATTAGATCTTTGTTATTCTGTCTGACCCCCAAAGAAAGAAGCCTCAGAGCACGGCCCCCTGGGTGGCAGCGAGGACAGCAGTCAGGGGAGGGCCCGTTTGTCCACAGAGCCCCTGCGTACGTGCCCACACCCCCCATAGCCGGCATGCGCCCCCCACGTCTTGGCGCCCCTCCCCTCCAGTGCCCCAGGGGCCCCCTGAATGCATCATTGCTTCATGATTCTCTGATCTGAGAACTCGTGGTTGCTCTGCTCCTTTAAGGGGCACCCGGTTTACCTCTTTTAATTCAGTTATTTAAACATTTATTGAGCATTACTAGTGCGCTAAGTGTAATTTTTACAGAAGGGAAACTGAGGCCCAGAGCAGTGGTGTAACTTGCCCAGAGTCATGGAGCTAATTAGCGACAGCATCAGGAGCACACCCGAGGGCTCCCGCCTTCTCGCACTGTACACAGTGGAGCCCTGAGCGGTAACTGAGCGGCAGGGCTGCCAACAGCCCCCTCCTGTCCAGACTCACCTGTTCCACCGAATTAAACCCAATGACCCTGTCCTACACCATTTGTTCTCGAGGGAACAGCCGAGGCCAGGGTCCAGGACCTCATCTTTGACTGACAGTGACTCAGGTAGCCCTGTGACCTGAGGCAGAGCTGTTTCTCTGGTGAACCCATGCTGGCAGCTCTCTCTGACCCCCTCTCCTGCTTGCAGGAGGCCCCGGGACCCACGGGACCTTGGCTTCCCAGTCTGGAATGGAGCCGACTGGGCTGCTTTCCCCCCGAGGGGCTCCGTCTTTTATTAAAGCACAGGGGCAGGGTGTGGCCAGGACCAAGGAGAGGAGGTCACTGCCTGGCTGTGCTGTGGGAGTAAGCGCTTGCTTGGACCGACCCTTTTCTCTCAGGAGGCCAGCCTCAGGCCCCCTCCACCTCGGTCTGTCCCAGCCTGTCGTGGCTCTCCCCTCCCCATCCTGGAGGGCTGCCCCTGGTGATTCTGATGACTGGGAAGGGGTGGAGGTGGGATGGGAACCGTGTCTCGGCAGACAACAGGCCGCAGACACATCCCGATGTTTGGCCTCCTTGCTTCTGCCTCACATCGTCACCCACATTCAATCCCGCCTCTTAAGTCCTACGAGGGCCTCACTCTCGGGTCGCAATGGCCCGTCCTGCTCCAGCCCCAGCCCCTGCCCAGGAACCCCTCGGGGGTTTCCCTATCTCCCCTGTTCATCTTCCCCGAACACCATGCCCCGCTTATCACCCGCGTTTTCCCCTGATGGCTGCGTTCCCAGGCCCAGAGTTTAAATTGTCAGCCTGGGCTTTAGGGTCCCCTTTCCCACCCACAGTGGTTTATAGTTCCGTCTCCACCCACCCCTGTGTCCTCTGTTTCTCCTCAGCAACCCCAGCCCCCCTCCGCTCCCCTCAGCTACTGCCCGGCTTCTCTGCTCCCTCTCAGCTTCTCCTCCGTCCCCTTCAGCTACTCCTGATACAATTCCCAAGTCTTCTGTGTAGTGCCGTGGTTCTCCAAGTGCGGCCCTCAGTCTAGCAGCGTCAGCATGACCTGGGAACTTGCTGGAAAGGCCAATTTCTGATCTCTACCCCAGACCTACCGAGTCAGGAACTCTGGGAGTGGGGCCCAGTGGTCTGTGCTTTCGCAAGCCACCCAGGTGACTGACGCACACTCCGGTTTGGTAACCGCCGGCTTACTCATTCTCCCTAGATTTCCCATCACCAAGCCCTCCTGCCCTCTGCTCCGAGAGAGGGCTCGGGCTCAGTCTGGACCATACCTTGTCCAGTTGCTGCTGGGGCTGACTTCTCTGCTTCCCTGGGCACACTGCACTCTGAGGAGAGGGAGCAGACCTCCGATGCCCACCCCGCCTTCGTGGGGTCCGTGCTCTGTACTTGGTGTGCCCCAAGGAATTCCGGGAATGCCCTGTCGCTGTGCCCCAAGACAAATTCTTCTTTTTTCCGGCGGGCCCCTGTGTCCTAGGTCTAGCGAACTCACTTTCCGAATCTCTCTCCTGACCCTTCCTGCTCCCCAGAATGTCCCCACCCCCTGCCTCAGAGGCACTATTGAGATCTCATTTGCTCTCAGAAAATAGCTGTCCCTGGTTCTCCTTTTCTCCTTTCCAGGCCCTGCTGGGGGGGTCGGGCGCTGCCTGTTTTCCTGCACCAAGGGCAAGGTCATTCACACCCCGCTGAGCCACGCCTGCAGGGTCCATCCTCCTGCTCCCACCGTCACCATGGTGACCCTCATCTCTGCCCACCTACCATCTAGCCTCCACTCCTCCGGGCCAGCTCGGCCACTGCGTCCAGTGAGACAGATGTGCCATACACGGGGAGGCTGGCCGAGGAGACGAGTGGGGACTAAAATCTAGCCCGCGCTCTGCTCCCCAAGCCGTGCGCGCTGGTTTGGGGTGGCATCGGCCTGGAGGTAACGGGTGCCTTTTTAGAACTTCCAAGTCCCTGCTCTCTGGGTTAGCAGCAGCCCCGAGTGCACCACCTCTGTCCGCCAGTTTACGGAGCCCCAGTGGCCCTCACTCTGCTACCACCTCCCCATGTGGCCCACGGCAGTCCACCCTTCGCTCCATCCATCCGCCCCTGAACAGACGTGAAGGACAAACACAGGCTGGCACGTTCCGCCCGTCCCCACCCTCCACGAAATCAGACGCCCTCCCTTCTACTGGATTCTAGGCTTAAGATTCCGAGGGGGCTCCCCAGCTTCAGCACATGCCCAGGGCTCTTGCCTGCCTCCTTCTCAGCCTCTGACATCCAGCTCCCGGGTACCAGCGTCTGGCCCTGCCACAGGGGTCTGGAGGGAACGGGTCACACCTTGGACTCACTCTCTGGGGGCGGCAGGCAGCCGTTCTGCTCCTTGTCAGCGCCAGCCTCTGCCCCCGCCCCCTCCCCGGCCCCCTCCTCCTCCACCTTCTCATCCAGCCGGCTGGGGATGGACCAGTACAGGTGGGCGTCGAGGCGGGCGGCGGCTTCGGCCAGCTCCCGGGCGCTGCACGAGGGCGTGGGCACCTCAAAGGTCTGGTGGAAGCTGGCATAGTCCACCTCATAGAAGCCATCCTCCAGGGTGAGCACGGACGTGAAGCGGTGGCCCCACAGAACCTCGTCCACGAGGTAGGAACTCCGAGCTTGGCAAGTCATTCCTGGGGGGAGGGGCACGGGTCAGGGCAAGTCATTCCTGGGGGTAGGGGCACGGGTCAGGGGGGATGCCAGCCCCGGGCTTCCCTCTCCTGGCTCTGGTTCCACAGCCTGATTCCCACATCGCTCCCTCTCTCCCTCCGCCAGGGCCTCCCATGCCCGCTTTGGGTCCAACCTGTCTTCTCCCCCTTCTCAACTCCTATACCTGCCCAGCTCTCTCTCTTGGGTGAGGGTCCTAACTCAGCCTCCAGCCCATGCTCTCCCCTCCTCTCTGCAGGGGATGCCAATCAGAGAAGCTGAACCTTGAAACTGACCTTAGGGATCTTCTAGTCCAACTTCCCTTTCCACACAGGGCTTCCTACCGGCGCATCCCCACGACTGGGCATCGATCGAGCTGGTGCTTATCACCACCTCCTGGGTGGGACACCTCTTATCGGTTGTTCTTAGTAAGAGCTCAGATCTGCCTCCCCAGGATTGCCACCTTTGCTTTTGCTCCCCTGACTTTTGACACCCATTCGGGAACCTCGGGGCCCGTCGTGTCTTCTCCTCTTCCGGCTGAACATCCCTGGCTCCCTCCACCCTTCTTCAGGTGATCTGGCTTCCAGAAATATTCCTTTCTCGACTGCACACCTGAATGGCCAAGGAGGACCCTTTCAGTACTCTGCGTATGATAAATACCCAGCTGGGGCATGACCCGCACAAGAGAGGGCTCACCTCCTCTCTCTTCCGGCCATGAGGCTTTAGCTAACGGGGCCCAAGATTACGTTACATAAACATTTTTGGAATCAAGATCACAGTGCTGCAACATTAAGCCTGTGGCCAACTAAAACCCCCAGTTCTTTTTTTCACCAGAGCTCTTCAATGCGGTGCTTACATAAGTGATTTTTTTAAAGCCTAAATGTAGAATTTTATATTTATTCCTTTTAAATGTCATCTTGTTGGGTTTTGGCTCATTATCCTTGCTTTTCAAAAGCATTTTGAATCCTGACTCTCTCACCCAAAATATTGCCATCCTTTCCAACTTGGTCTCTCTAGAAAAGTCAGATGAGCTCCCATCCCTATCTCCTCCACGCCACCCTCCCCAGTCCTCTGCAACCCGGGGCTGTGCCCCGTCCTCCCTGCTGGGCTGGGACACTCACCAGGGCAAGCGATCCTCCTTCTACGCCTGGGTCTGTCCCCCAGCCCTTGTCCACCTCAGAACAGGGGAAAATGGAAACCTGAACGGTAGCTAACCAGAGACGGGCTCTTGGCACTGTAAGCCCAGCCCTGACATAGCCTGGGGACATGGGTCACGGTGGTGCTCCTCCTGTGAAGGCTGGACTAGGAAGTGTCCAGTGGGGGAAGGGCAGAAGAGGCAGAAGGGCCGCCGGGGAGAGAGGTCTCTGAGGAACAGAGGGGGGGCTGGGGGCACGAGGAGAAGAGGACTAGGTAGGGACTTGTCTGCAAGGACAGCAGCTGTCTTGGGGCTGGCAGGAGAGTGGCAGGGGCTAGAGCGCAAGGGAAGGTCCTGGGTGAGCAGGGGAAGGAGCCCGAGCTAGAAGGAGCATGGGTGGGGGTGGGGGTGGGGGGGGGATGGGGGCTAGTGAAGAAGCAGTGGGGAGCACTGGGGCAGAGGGTGGTGAGGCAGAGGCTCGGCAGGAAGGGCCAGGAGACGGGTTTGAGGGCACCAGCCTGGGAAGCCCACAGAGGCCACAGCTCAGGCCACAGCTCAGGCCCTGTGCTCACCTGCTACGCTTCTCTCATCCTCCCGCTTCCAGATGTCAAGCCTCACAGCATCTCATCTGTGCCCCTACCCTGGGCCCTCCCACCTGCTCCTGAACCCTGCACTGGGTGGGCCTGCGTTCCTGACCTCACAGGGGCGTTGAGCGCTCCTTCTGGAAAGGGGCCAGAAATGCTAAGACCCTCTATTTCCTTTGTCAGTGGAAGCTGAGAGTCTTTTGATGGGTGGGGAAACAAAGACGGGAGTGAGACCGGCTGTCAGCCTGCTCCTAAGGCCCAGGCTGGGCATACTCTGGGCCATGGGAGAGCCTTGCCACCAAGTTCAGGGGCCTGGACCTCTCCGCAGTGGGAAACCCTCGAACTTACCGTCTTTGCGCTTCTGGAACATCAAACTTTGCAGCGCACTGCCCCGCCCTATCCACTGACCTCCCCGCGACCACCGACAGCCGTCTTAACCTCTCCTCGGGCGGCCTCCCGTCTGCAAACGAGCACGGAAGTGACCTTCGCTAGGACCAGATGAACCCGGAGGCCCCGTGCGTCGGGGCCGCGCAGCACACGCTAGCTGCGTGCGGGCTCCGCGCCTGTGCAGCTCCCGGTGACCACCCCCCAGGGCACACCCCCCACCCCCCGCCAGCCGCAGCCCGCCCCGCCCCCGCCCCTCCGCACCCGTGGCTTCCACCATGCCCTCCAGGATGACCACGATCTCGAAGTCGTCCCTCTCCAGGGCGCGGCGCGACGCCTCCCAGAACGGGCTGGCGGCGTCGATCTCGTGGCTGATGACCAGCGGCGACACGAGGAAGAGGCGGTCGTCGCCCGTGTCGAAGCCCACGCTGAGGTCGGTCTGGTGCAGCGGGATGAACTCGCCCTCCAGCGTCTGGCGCGAGCGGATGAGCTTGGCGCGGATGGAGGCCTCGACGATGTGCGACGAGCGCAGGTCGCCCACGCGGAACATGAGGCAGAGGCGGCCGTCGCGCAGCGACACGACGGCGTGCGACGAGAAGACGAGCGTGGCGGCGCGCTTGTTGGGCTGCGAGATCTTGACGAACATGCAGCCCACCATGAAGGCGTTCACCATGGAGCCCAGGATGGCCTGCAGCAGCAGCAGCGCGATGCCCTCGGGGCACTGGTCGGTGATGACGCGGTGGCCGTAGCCGATGGTGGTCTCCGTCTCGATGGAGAACAGGAAGGCGGCCACGAAGCCGTTGAGGTTGTTGACGCACGGCGTCCACGCCGCGTCGCCCAGGTGCTCCAGGTCGCCGCGGCCGTAGGCCACGAGCCACCAGATGGCGCCGAAGAAGAGCCAGGTGAGCGCGTAGGCGAGCACGAAGAAGAGCAGGCTGAGGCGCCACTGCAGGTCGGCCAGCGTGGTGAACAGGTCGGTCAGGTAGCGGCCCGGCTCGCGCACGTTGCCCTGCTGCACGTTGCAGCGGCCGTCCTTCTCCACGTAGCGCTGGCGGCCGCGGCGGCGCGGGGGCTCGCGGCCCGGGGAGCGGGGGGCGCCGGCGCGCGCCATGGCGGCGGCCGCAGGGGGCCTGCGGGACCGGAGCGCGCGGCGCCGTCAGGCTCGCGGGACCGCGCGGCTCGGAGGGTGCACCCCCCCACCCCCGCCCCGGCCGCCTGCGGCCGCCCCCCACGCCTCCCCGCCGCTGCGCGTGCCCCCCGACGCAGCCTCCAGCCCCCGGACACGGCCCCGGACCCGCTCCGCCGAACTTCACCGTGACCCCGCGCGCGCTCCTCTTCCTTCCCGCCGGCGCCCCGCGCGCGCTCAGCCCCCTCCCACAGCTGCCTACCCTCCCGCAGCCCGCGGAGAAGACGCGCGGGGGGCGGAAAGGCAGCGCGACCTCTGCAGCGGCAGCGGCTGAACAGCCCCGCCCGAGGACGTGCCCACTCCAGGTCCTCGCGGAGCACTAGACCCCTCCCGCTCATCGCTGCTGGGTGTCCGCCCCCCGCCCCCGTCCCCTGGGTTCTTTCCCCCGCCCCCGAGGAGGCAGCCTGGAAGGGGGTTGGGAGGGCGGCAAGAGAGGAGACCCAGGCGGACAGCCCGGGCGCGCAAAGTTCAGCCGGAGTTAGGCTCGTATCCCCGAGGAGTCTCCTGCTCCTCCTGAGCCCTCTTCCACCAGATCTGGCGAAGCACTAAGCCCCCACATTTATCGCCCCCCTCCCTCCGGTTTTTGCCGGCAGCCTCCCACTCCTCACTGACTACCCCAAGCACAGCCCCCACCCCCAGCCATCTGCCCCAGAGCTCATGTTCCAAGGGAAGCCCACCTGAGTTTGCTTCAAATTCTTCCCCCGAGGAGCGATCTGAGCTGCAGTGTACCCTGGGGGAGAGGTCCAGAGCCCCTCCCTAGGCCCCAGACCCCTATAAGGAAAGGTTTAGAAGAAGGACTTGGTTCTCTCCAGCCTTCCCTTCTTCCTGGGGGTTGTTTTGTCCTCCCACTCCAGGGAAACCTGGGTTGGCTGGGGTGGGGGAGGGTGGGGTGGACGGGAGGAATGTGACAAGGACCACAGATGGCCTGGATGTTTGACCAGGTCCTGGGGAGACACCGCCTGGATATGCAACTCCAAACCTAGGTCTCCAGAATTCAAGTTCTGGAATGAGGTGCTCTGCAGCGAGACCTTGGGAAGCCATGTGCGCGCGCGCGCGCGTGTGTGTGTGTGTGTGTGTGTGTGTACTAGGGTAGAGGGCAGGAGGAAAACCCAAAAAAGATAGCTTGGTGCTTAGGGATGACCCCCCCCCCCATTTATGTTGCAAGAGGAGTCAGGGGACACTGGGTCCAATGAAGATTAGGGTCTTCTCCTCCCCCAAAAGTGGGCTTCCCTTGCCCTCCCTGCAGCCAGGGATGTCCTCTAGAAGTTCTCTCTATGCACACAGACTGTTCGGAGACCCCGAGTCATGCAGAGAAGTCCCTGTGTCCCACTTACCCTACTGTCAGCCCCAGGTGGGCTTCCAGATGTTTTCCTAGGGTCTTAGGTAATCTAACCCCCAATCCGCCTGCTTAGACAGATCTGTCTTCCCAGGGGTGGGAGGAACCCCACAGTCTGATCGCTGCCACATCTGTCTTGCTCTCCATCGCCCCAGGCATCTAGGTGGGCCTTAGTTTGATCGTGTCCCCTCCCGTCTTCCTGAGTGGAGGCCGCATGTTTCTCAGTGGGGAAGTAAACGTGTGAACTAGCCTTGATCTCGGCACCTTCCCTCCGAAGATCCCTGTTCCCCCAGCCTGCTCCTTCTTAGTTCTTGTGCATGCTGTGAGCCCTCTCCGGAAGACCCCAGTGCCACGTTTTCCTGGATCTCCCTTTCTCCCCCTAGGGAGTGCTGGCCAGGAAGAGGGTTTATTTTGTGGGAGGGGATCTGGTGAAAACTCCCTCAGGAACAAGCTGTTCCCAAGCCCCCACTTGCCTTGGATTTAGGGGCCCAAACCCAAGTCCCCCGCAACTCAACTCACAGCGTGTGGAGAGGAGAGTAGCCAGCAGCAGAGACCCCCGGGGCGTAGCGTCCATGCCCCTGACACCACCCCTTCCCCGGCCCCCGTGGAGGGTGGGAGCCACCGACACCGTTGTTTCTCCTACATGCAGCGGCAGCTCTGACTAGGACCTGCTATCTGTGTCATCCCCACTTCCCAGGCTCCCCTGCTCCTCTCTTGTTTCCACAGCAACCAGTCTGGGGACAGCTCTGGAGCATCCCCCTCCCCTCCCTGGTCCTGGGTACCACTGGAGGCTGAGCCACACGCCATAGCTATTTTTAACCCAAGTCCCTCCTCCTGGACAACTCAGAGCTCGCCTCCTCACCCCCTCAGGAAAAAAAGAAAAGAAAAGAAAAGCCGGCACGCTCTTCCCTAAGAGGCTTCTTGCTCTGAGAAAATACGGGCCGATGTGTTTGGGAATAAGGCCTTTGGTCTCCCATGGATTCGGAAGGGCCCCTGGGAGCTGGCAGCTCATGACCTCCAGCAGGGGCCTCTGTGTGCGAGCTCTGCTCTCCAGCAGGCACCATCCTGTCTCCAATTTTTGAAGAGGGCGGGCGCCCTGATTGAGAAGGAGGTAGCTAGAGAGGAAAAAGATTCACCTGAGGAAGGGAGGTGGGGTCAAGTGTTCTAACCTTTGTCACTGATTTGTAATGTGACCCAAAGGATTGGCTTCGCTTCCTTGAACCACAGCTGTTCTGTTTTTCACAGGGCAAGGACACGTGCAAATATCCCCTTTCAGCCTGCTTCCCCGGGCGTGCAGATCAAACAAGGCAATAGAAATAGAAGGGCTTTAAAGTGTATTTTGTTAACAGTGAAAAGTCTAGAAACAACCCAAACTTCCGACGGAGAGAAGAGCCCAGGTTAGGGCTTAAAACCGTTCATCCTGCAAACTTCCGTGCACGCCAAGGCCTGGGCAGTGTGCTGGGTGGGGGTGGTTACAGAAATGACTTGGTCTCTGCACACCTGGAGCTCACGGTCCAGTGGGGGGACAACGACGCGCAGACACGTCACAGTAACGTCACTGCCGGTCATTCATCGAGCGGTGGCTGTGGACTAGAGGACTCATCTGACAGCCCACACAGGGACCCCACGAGCTGGGTCTGATCTTCTCCATTTACAGATGAGAAGCTGAAACAGAGAAAGACGATTTGCCAGATGTCACAGAGGCAGAGACGGTGGTTAGACTCACCCCAGTGTGTCGCTGCCAGACCGCGGGCTCGTCACAAAACCACGGGACCTTGGGAAAGCAATAGCTGTGATGTGGGGACATAATCAGCTGCTATGTTCACATATGAAAATGTGCGCGGAAACACAGTCTTGCAGGAAAAAGCAGCATGTACAAACATTCTTGTAAGTTGATCATCACCACAGAAATAGGTGTCAGGACCCCGATAAAAATCAGAGCAGAATTTGGAGAAATACGAATATTTCAGTGCTCGTTTTCCCCAGGGAAATCATTAAAAGCAGAGAGTGGTATACAAATGGCCGTTGTTATGACTGGTACTATCATACCCAATATACTGATGTGTTCTTCTCCAGATTCCTTTAAGTTGGAATAAGAAGATAGGAGCCAGAGGAGAAGGGAGATGTTGAAATGGACACTAGAGGGTTAGAAGCTGCTGGAATGATCTGCTAAATTGGAAAAAGTAGTTCTGTGTAATATAATCTCAGGAGGCAGTGATCTGGGTTCAAGTCTCAACTTCGTCCACTGCTAGCTGGGTGACTTTGAGCAGGTTGCTTAACCTCTCTGAACAGTTTCTTCATCCAAGAAATGAAAATAGCTCTATTGTCCATCTCCTGGGCATTGTCCTGAGGCTTGCATGAGGCAATTCCTGGCACCCTAGAAGTACTCAGTAAGTGCCAGCTGGATCTTCCTTCTCCTCCTTGTTACCCTCATCCCAGGCATCCCCTGAGATCCCCACCCACCCTGGGCTGCCTTCCTCTGCTCTGGTGCCGCCTAGTGAGACCTGCAGAGGGCACTCCTGGTCCACTGCCCTCCTCTCCACAGCACTCTTGCCCATGTTTCTTGTTCCAAGTGGAAATACCACGTTTTCAGCCCAAGATTGGCATCGGGAGGGCTGTTAAAGTCCCAGTCACCATCCCCGTCTCCTGGGTCTGGCCCTGTCACCTGAGCCTTGGGACTGCAAGCCTGCCCTTCTCTGTCCTGCCAAGCGGCTGCTCACGTTGGTTCTGCTGTGCCAGGAGCTCAGAGAGACGAAACCGGACCTCTGGGCAAAAGCTCATTTGCATAGAACTGGCCCCATTTCTTGGGGGGGGGGGATGATGGGGCTGGTAGGGCATTCAGAGGGTACCTGGCAGGCCCCTGCCTCATTCTGGCTGACCACCAGCCCACCTCTGATTTACCCACCCCTGCAGGTCCTGGGACTTTACCCGGCCTCTATCTTCAGTCCCTTGTTTATCACTGAACTTGAATAGAGGGAGGGGAAAGAAAGTTTTCTTAGGTTCCAGGGTACAGAAAAATAGGCAAGATCCCAGCTTTCAGTTTTGTGACAGAGCAAGCAACTTTACAAGGAATTAGTAAAACATGTCAGTTTGGAACCTGAGAATGTTGAGGGTGGGAGGGCCACAGCTGGAGCCACATCGGTGGTCCATAAGGAACCTTGTTACCAAGCAGAAAAAGGAGCCGGCTCTGGGCAGGTTCATTCCTTATGGCATGTAGATTGGAGAGCAAGTGGTACTTTGGAGCAAAAATAAAAATAAAAAGTGGAATCCCTCTAGTGGGCACAACTTTGAACCACGGTGTAAGGATTGGCAAGGTAGATGCAGTTCAGTTCTCAACTTGCCCCCTCTGTGAGTGCCTTTGTGCAGTCCACAAACCGTGCAGCTGTACGTGGGAGCCCGGGGACTAACCAATCTGGGAAGGTTTCCTTGAGCGAGATCATGAGACTTCTTGGGTAAAATCTTGGAGGTGGGAGAGGAAGTATGATGGGAAAACAGGAGATGGTTGAGGATATGGGTTTAATGGAACAGGGGAGGCCCATCTGGCAGAAACTATAATAATTTCCACAACTTCGAGGGAGTCTGGGCCCTAGAAGAGTCAGAGCTGAAAGAGGATATGGTTGAAGCAGTGGCTGCAGCTGGAGGTTAGAGAGACATGGGGAGAAGCTGAGCTCAGCACAAGGACAGGTGGGACCCTACTGGGCCCCTGAGTCTGAGGCACTTTTTGGCCCTTTGGCTCTTTCCAGCACAGCTGGAGGATCAGAGCCTTCTGATATACAGGTCTGTCTTGCTTGATGGGATCGGGTGCCGGATGACCAGGATTTAAAAGTCATGGCGTTCGGAGGTGGTCTAGAATTAGACCAAGTGAGGTCTCTCCAAGTCTCTCTCCAAGTGAGGGATGGGCCCCCGGAGAGCAGACAGGACTAGAAGACCCAGGCATCCCAGCTCCTGGTCCCTGGTTGTTTCTTTATTCCCTGTTGCCTTCCCGCTGCCACAGTGTTTTGGGTATTAATGGAATTTTTATCCATTGGCCCCCACTGGAAAGATACTAGAGGAACCACCTCGTTAAAGAACTTCTAGGAAGAGTCCTTTAGTAATGAGAGCACGTAAGTTATGTCTCGGAAGTGTGAGTTTATGAATATTGCACTTGCTGAAGGCAGAGGGTATGTATATCTAAGCAGTCCTTTCATGACTGGGGCGACGGAGCTCAGTCCCTCTCTCGCAGCTCTCTTCCGTGGTCTGAGTCGTCCCGCTACGAGGTGCCCACTACTCGTGGAAATTGTTGAGCTAAAATGTTGCTCGGAATCCCATAGTAAACACTGGATAGAGTCATCTCTACTCTTTCCAGAACAAGGTCAGAGAAAACATGAAGCCAAAGTTGGAAGGAGTGAGTCCAAAAGAAGCAATTGAGAATGAGAAAGACACCATTTGCTAAGCTGACGGAAGAGGAGAGGTCTTCAGAGAGAGATGGTTCCCCTGACTGCCATTTAGAGGTGACCCAGAACAGGTCCTCGCTGCACCGGTGCGGCGTGGGTCCCAGGAGACCATCTTACATGGTGGGCAGGGACTTCACAACCCTGGCCGATTTGTCACGCTAACCTGTGCCCATGTCGACAATTCAGATTCTATTTAACACACGAAGATTCACTCTAGCGTTACCCTGAGACAAGCCTTGGAGTCAAACACATATGCATTCGAGTTCCAGAACTGACATCTTCTAGCTACGTTACCATAGGCAAGTCACCCAGCCTCTCAGAAGCTGGCTTTCCCACCTCAGGTAATACATCTATCTCGTGTGGTAAACACTCACGGATGTCCCAAGTCCTTTGCCATTGGTTCCCTACTGGCTTCCTAGTGACTATCTCAGAACTTCTTTTTAATTTTTTTAATACATGTTAGCTTTATGCCCAACATAGGGCTTGAACTCACAATCTGACCCTGAGATCGAGAGTCACATGCTCTACCAACTGAGCCAGCCAGGCGCCCTTAAGACTTCTTTGTTTTGTTCAAAAATTTTTTAAAAAAATTTATTTGACAGAGAGAGACACAGCGAGAGAGGGAACTCGAGAGAGGGAGAGGGAGAAGCAGGCTTCCCACTGAGCAGGGAGCCCGATGTGGGGCTCGATCCCAGGACCCTGAGATCATGACCCAAGCCGGAATCAAGAGTCAGACAGCTAACTGGCTGAGCCCCCCAGGCTCCCTTAAGTCACTCTTTTAAAATTAGAAACCTATAGCTCAATGCCAGTTATCTGTGTTTCCCACAGTCTTGTACCATGCTGTTCTAGAACTTCTAAGCTCTTTCTAATGCCCAGCCCCATCCTCACCCTGATTTTTAGCAAATGGCTCTTCTGTTCTATAGGAAAGGCAAAGACCATTTGGAAAGAACTTCCCCAGAGACTTCTCCCTCACCAGAAGGTATCTCTTCTGCTCCTACCCTTGGGTTCCTTCCTCCCTGAGTGTCAGGGAGCTTGAACTGTGCCCAGTAAGCAAGGGGCACCCTGTTTGGGGTTTGATAGAAGAACACAGGGACTGACATGATGATGACAGGCTGCCTCTTTCTTTGAGAATGGAGGAAAGGGTGAAGGGTAGGTCTAGGTCCTGGGCTGTTAGTGACCTTCCTGATTCTGGTAGTGGCCTTGAAATAGAAAGGGACATCCAAGAGAAATTCAGCAAAGGGAGACCTGGCAGGACTTGGTCGCTTAGCTGACATATAAAGGGATGGGGGGGAGGGAAGGGTAAAGAGGAGAGGTCACTTCGGTTTTAAAATCTGTTTGGCCAAAAGAAACACAGAAATAAAGAAGTCACGAGGCTCGAGGAGGAAGATGGTGAGTTCGGTCTGGGGCCTGTCCGGTGGAAGTGGGAATCCCCTGCCAGCAGCTGGAACCGTGAGGCTCTAGTGAAAGGCTCAGGATGAAGATAGAGATTTGCGTGTAATCAGTGATGGTAGCCGGAGCGATGTCAGTGATGAAGGCTGGACATGAGACACAGAAAGAACAAGGACACAGGGAGAACAGAGGACGGAACCTTCCATACTGGGGGAGGGAGCTGCTGCAGGTTCGGGTGTGCAGGGCCAGTGGTGGCGGATGAGGCTGGAATGGCCCCAGGTCCAGGTCGTGGCCCAGACCACAGCCCAGTGATGCGGCAGAGAGGAAGGGGGCGGGCCCGAGGGGCTTCACAAAGTCTATGCACTGATTAGAGAAGATGAGGGGAGAGAGGATGAAGGTTCTGGGCTTGCTGTCTGGTTTCCCCTGCAGACCTTCTGGCTCGCCTCCAGATTTATCTTCCTAAAATTCAGCTATGACTTCGTCCTTGGGTCAAGAGCCTCCGTGGACCTCCTTGGCCTCCAGAAGCTCAGAGCTCACCCTGAACTAGCACATTCCTCTCTGTACTCCAAGTCTTCTCCCAACACAAACACTCTGCCTGTGGTAGCCCCTGTAGCCCACTGCCCTCCCCGAGGGGGCAGCCTGTGTGCCCCGTACATTTGCTCATCCTATGGCTTTTAGAAGCGAAACTAAACTAACAATGTCAAGTTTCTTTGTTTGTTTTGCAAGATATGTATCAACTCAGTACGGTAATACTGGTTACTGATCAGTAATTAAATAAGTATTGATGGTGAACAAAATCAGGGAAATAATTCTTTCCTTAATAAATACCAACGTGGGAGATTGTGGGTAAGCACCTCTCAAAACTCGCATTCAGATACGGAAAGAAGTCCTTGGCGATGAAAAGGTTGAGAACTACCACCTGCGCTCTGTCTAGTCTAGGGGGCCAGTGTGAGGCTGTTTCCCACGCAGACTTGTACTTCCGAGGCCCCCCACCGCACCCCAGGACTTTGTGACTGCCGTTCCCTCTGCCACAAACGCCCTCCCCACCATCTCCCAGGACCCGAATCCCCGGCATTCTTTAGGGCCCTTGTCGAAGCCCCACATCTGCCAGGACCCCCTAAGTAGGGCGACCTCGCCCTTCTGCGGCCTCCGGCGCCCCCCGCACCTGCGCTGCGCGCCCCCCCCCAGCGGCCCTTCGGAACCGGGACCCAGCCGGCTGTGGGCGGGGGAGGCTGTTGCGCGCACTTGGCACCCGGGACCGCACGCAGTGCTTAGGGGACGGTGACCGGCCAGGCAGTGGTGCTAAGGGACGGAGCCCCGGAGCCCAGCCCCGGCCGCCCCTTCGCGCCGCGCGTAGGGCCACCGGGCCGTCCCGAGTTCATTTCCAGCTCATTGACTTGGCCCGCCCCGCCCCACCCCGCCCCGCCCCGCCGCGCCCTCTCCCGGTCCTGACACGGCCACCGCCGCCTCCTCCTCTCTCCCCTGTCATCGTGCCAGCGCAGCCCCTATCGCTTCGCCCATCGGTCTCGCGTCCCGCTTCCTCCCGGAGTCTGTCTGGGTCCCGCTCTTCGGGCGCGGCTCTGGGCCCTGCGCCTCCATCTGTCTGGGGCTCCGCTTCCTCGCCCCTGCGCCCCGCCCGCCTCGGCCCCTCCAATCCCGGCAGCTCGGGCCTGGCGCTCCACGTCCCCATTGGCCCGGCCGCAGCCCCCCGCCCCCGCCCGCCGGCCCCCTCCGGGCCCCTCCATTCACACAAAGTTTGGCTCCGGCGCTGCGGAGGGAGGGGGCGGCCCGGCCCGGCCCAGCTCTGCCCCCGGCCGGCCCGACCCCGGCCCTGGCCCCCGGACCAGCCCTTATCTGATCCCAGCTCCGGGTTTAAGAGTCCTGGCTCTGCCCGTCGCTCAGCTCGGTTCCTCACTCCTGCCCGCCCCGTCCGTCCGTCCGTCCGTCCCGCTGCCCATCCGAGGGACCACTCCACCCCGGACCGAAGGTAAGCCCCCCTGGCGGTGACGGAGGAGTGCTGCCCCGCCCTGGCCAACCCGGGTCCACCTCACTCCCGGAGATATGGGCCCCCAGCCCTTCCGTCCCTACCCTGTCAGGCTTCAGCGGTAAGAGCCTGCTCCCCAGCCTCCCACCTCAGCAACCCCAAACGGACCCTCCGGGGAAGGACTCCCCGAGAAGGAAGCTTGGCCAAAGCTGGTCACCTCCAGCGCATTAGGCTGAGGAAGGGGCTTTCTTGATGCCCTTCCTACGAGGCGGACCTGGCATCCCATCATAGCCCTCTCAAGGAACACAGTGACCACCGCCTACATAGGACCACGCATCCCCCACACAGGCCTCAAGACAGCGCCCCCTCTTCCCAGGATCATCAGGTTACTCCCACTCCCGTGCCAGCCCATCCCCCCTCCCCACACAGTGACACTCACATAGTGACACCCATTGATCACAAGCTCACACATGGGAAGAAAGACGCATACAGCTTGGATTCGGAAGCCCTGGCAGCCTGGTGTGCCTGGGACCCCTGCCCATCCTGCCCCTTCCCTCCACTCCCACTTGGCCCACTCTTCCAGCTCTCCCCTCCTCACCTCTGGCCCCCCTCCCCCAGATGTATCCCAGTAAGATCCCTAGGAAGAGTCCGGCAGAGCAGCACCTGCTGGATTAGGAGGCCAGAAGGAGATGCCCTTCCGCATCCCACTCCTTTTCCCCCCGCCAGGAACTGACCAAGGTTACCGGTGATAGGAGAGAGGCGAGGGTTCCAGCTTCCTGATTTGGGGGCAGAGAGCTGAGTCCTGGGATGGGTAGAATGGGTAGAAGGACAAAACCAGGACAAGGTGGGAGTCGGGCCTCTGGTCACCTGAGATTTCATTCCTATTACCAAAGCACCGCAGGGTGAGGCTGATGGGAAGTGGGGGTGGCAGAGAAGCAGGGCACAAATCTGGACCCAAAGGCTCAAAGCCCGGTTATGTTGCGAATCAACACAAATTCTTGGTGAGCGTTTTTGGCTGGTCCGCCTTGCCTGGGCATTGGACTTTCCCCACTAGGACAGCTTTAGGGAGGTCCAGGCAGGAGAGAGAAGGAGACGGAAGATTTGGAGCCCTTGTGTGGGGATGGGTGTTTAGGGGTGCCCAGCAGGGCCTGGAGGGTGTCAAGAAATCAGCCTGAGGAGGGGCCGGTGGCCGCCCCTGAGTTGCACTGGGTTCCGTCTCCAAACTCTCTCCCTGACCTCTATGACTTTCTGAACATGTTCTCACAAGGGTGGGCACTGTCCTGTGCCCAGGGGTAGGGTCTGCTTCCTCCTCAGGGCGTAGGCTGGGTCTGGGGGACCCCGTGGGGAAGGAAGCAGGTGTCCTGGCTCCTAGCTAGTTCTTCAGGGAGCAGGAAGTGAGGGAGGGGGAGGGACGGCGTCATGCCAGGGAGAGGGGCCAGGCCCGCTCAGCGGAGGACTAGGCATGGCCCAGGCAGTGCCAACTCCCTTCTCCCCGCCCCTCTGTCCTTTGGTGGTGGTGGCGAGGGAGGGAGAGAGGGGGTGTTGGGGGGTGATCTGGGCCAGTCCAGCCTCCCAAAGCCCTTGCCAGCCTGGGTCCTGAAAGAAGCTGCTGTTTTCTGAGCTGTCCCCCCCAGCCGGAGCCTGAGCAGCCAACTTGTCTCAGTGGGTATCGAATGGCAATGACTCCATGGAACGGAGGGGTGGGGAGTGGCAGGGTTATGGGCCCATTCCTTCTGTGGTTCTAATGCCGAATCCTACTCCTGCCCCTACCCCGCGGGGAAAAAAGCTGGGTCTTCCCAACATCAGCCCTACATCCAGTCTAGGGTCCCTCGTGTTTGCACGGGAGGTACCCACAGGCACCCCCCCACCTCTTCCCTGCGCCCCACTGACTGGTGCGCGGTGCCCCTCCCCGCACTTCCACACACGAGCTCACCTATAGCTCCAGCTGGTTTGGCTTGGGCCGGAAAGGAAGGGCCTGGCAGGAGACCCAGGGGCCTCCTTCCCTTGTCCTCCCTAGGGACCGGAGAGGCTGGGACACTTGGATCTGGGTGGTCTCACACGACGTCCTCTGGGGTCATCCTGGGATTTGTGGGATGGGGGCTTTAGGGCCCTGGGGGTGAATCATACAGAAATACCCGCTTCCTGAGAGGAGAAAAGGCCTCTTGGGCCTCCTGGCAGGATGCTTGGTTCCCGTGGAAGTTAGGCTGAGCCCCTGGCATTGGTGGGGAGAGAAAGAGGCATCGGGCAATGGAGCCCCCAACTTTGCTGCCAAGGGTTATGTAGGACGGAAGGAAACATCTTCCGCTCTCCCTCCCCTTCCCGGCCTAGATTCTTCTCTTGCCTGACTGGTCAGTGCCACCGTCCAGGCTGAGGCCAAGCTGTCTGGGACAGTGGTGAGGCCCTGGAAGGGGCAGAGAGGCCACCGAGAGGGAACCGCAGAAGGATGGCGAGCAGGCAGATTTGGACTCTGAGTGTCGAGTGCCCGGTGAAGGGTGGTCGGTGGGGGCAGCTCCCAGACTTGGACTTTCCCGAGTGTGCCCCTCCCCCGTCTGTCCCACGGGCTGAACTCAGTGATTTTCTTCCTTCATCTTGCATTCACATACATGTTGCTGCCGTGTGTGTGGCCCCGGCACACCCCCTCTTCACCTCCTCCCCCACCAGAACCTTGAAAGGGCAAAGAGAAGGGGATTGTGGGAAAAACTCTCCCGTGGGTGTCTGCGGGCTCGGAGCTGGATTTGAGGCGGTGGGCAGAAGGGAGGGGCTGGCTCTGGAATGTGAGAAGTAGGAACCTGCTGGGGTGGCCCAGAGAAGCCGGAGCTGAGAGCAGGAGCCTTCTGGCTTCTTGAGACCTAATGTCAAAGTATTGGGCCATTCTGCTCTCCTGCCAGGGGCAGAAGGCCCGGGAAAGGGGTGGGGGGGGGGCTGCAGCTGGAAGGACTTGGGTTCGACTTCGGGAAGCGCATCCCATTCAAGGAAAGAAATCTGAAATGGAGATGGGGAAAGAACAGGAGACCACCTCTGGAACCGAAAACAGACCCCCAAGCCCATCACGAAGGCTTCTGAGGGGAGCTGGGACGCTCTGCTCAGCGATCGGTGCAGGGATGACGTGGCAGCTGTCAGGGGCCGGGGGAGACCGCTCCAGGTGGCCTGTCCCTCTAAGGCGCTGGCCCAGGGCTCCTTCCTGCTCGGGCCCTGCCTGGGAGGCCGAGGTAGAGCTGTGAAGAGGGCAGCCGTGGAGTCAGACTTGCTGGGTTTCAGTCCCGCTTCCAGCACTTTGCCCTGAGACCCTCATCCTTACCCCGGGGACGGTGACAGTGGGGGATTGAGAGTCAGACTTCGTGGAGGGCTTGGGATGGTGCTTAGGTCCTAAACAGCGTGCTTGCTGCTGTGGTGTTCGCACTCTCTGACCCAACGCTATGGGCTCTACCGGCTCCCTTATCCACTCCCTGGTTCTTCTGCAGACCAGCCGTCAAGGCCCGGCTTCTGTCCCTCTACCCTTCCCGAGTCTGGGAAGGCGGGAGGAGATTCCTGTCTTCGCTCCCGCAGCTGGGCCGTCACGTGGGCTGGGGCTCCTCAGCCGTGGCTCCTTCCCCTGTTTGCAGCAGGCGGATGTCCCGTCTTCAGCTACGGTCCAGTAGGTGTGACCTCGGCTGCTGAGTTCCCCTAAAACAGTCTGTTGGGCCTTCTGGAGCAACTTCTCCCTTCCAACTTCTTGGTTGCACACAGCTCCCCCATCCTGCGTGGCCCTGCCTGTTCCACTGGTGCCCGGGTCTCCCTCACTCGGGCTTGCGTGCCCGCCCCTTCCTCTGTCCGCCAGTCACCTGGGTGCCCACAGCAGCCTCCCTAACCGCCTCCCTGACTCCAGCCTCTCTTTCTCCTTGGCTTCCTCCCTTTCCCCTTCCCTCCACTGGAACTGTCACCAAAAAGCACCTGTTTCGTCTTGTCCCTTTCTTACCCAGACATCCCTGTTGGTTTTCACATGCAAACTCCAATCAAGGTCTTCAGGATACTTTGTAGAAGACTTTCCCCCTGCCCTCCGGCACCCCACCTTTGGCGACTGCTGTGTTCAGACCTTGTGCTGGGGAAGGATGAGTCCCCCGGAAGCTCTCAGGCTTCACCCTTCCTTTCCCTCTGGGCCCTCACCTTCCAAGGCCCACCCCCCACCACCCATTTCCATCCCCGTTTCCCCAGCCGCCCTGTCCACCTGTACCCCTGCTTCTCAGCATTCAGCTTGTCCTTTGTCCCTGTGTCTATTACTTTGCTCAGATGCCCAACACAATGGGAATGTTGGGAGGGGACGTCCTGTCTCCTTCATTACACGGGGGCTCCTCTGGGGTGGGGCCATGCCCCTGCAGCCCTGGACATTTCTGACCCCGTAGAGCAAAGGCCTCACTTCCCTCCCTGGACCCCTCAGCTCTGAGGAACAGAGTGCCCTCTGGCCAGCTAGACTCTAGGTAGGACACCTTCCTAGATGCTAATTCTTGGTGGGAGGACCGTGGCATTAGAGGCTTATGAGTGTCTGGGGGTGGGGTATATGGATGTAAGACCCAATTATTCAACTTTCTAGGGAACTTCAAGAAAAGCCACTCTCTGGCAATGGGCCCATCCTGTAGAGATGGCTTCACCCTAAGATTGCAAACAGCGGACCCAGAACCCCCTATTTCCAATCCTTTAAGCACTGTTGGCCCAAACACAGAAACTCATGTGGGGATCTACTGAGCCTTTCTCTTCTCGCCAGGAAATTCTACTCCCACCCGATGCCAGGCTTATTGGCAGACATCCAGGGTGGAAAAGGGGTGAAGGTCAGAGCCCAGCCTGGTGCGGCCCTGTTGTCTTGAGCACACCTCTGGGGAAGGGGTTTGCAACCTGGCAGACCTGTGGGGACACCTCCTGGGGGCCCAGGCCCGACCTCCTAGGGTCACATTGTCCCTGGGACTGTCCCCGAGCCCTATCCTCCACCCTCGTCCCAAACAGGGGACCCAGGCACATACCTTCTCCCCAGG